CATAGCGCCTGGGGCTGCACGTACGACACACCCAAAGGTAACGAGCTTTGGAAAAGTGCGAATGACATGGGCCTTATTCTCATTACGGACAAGGCCTTCCCCACTCGCACTGGTACGTCCACGCAAAGGGATACTACGCCGGATCTATGCTTCGTCAAGAATATCTCCGACGCCCATTGGTCCAACCTCGCGGTAGATCTCGGTAGTGACCACTTCATATTGGCTGTACACCTCCCCACAGTAAGCAGGAAGACCAAGTCGTACACGTGGGTCGACTGGGACCTCCTTCGTAAGACCCGCGCAGAACGACCTCCTCCCGATACCCCACCGAGCCTCGAGACGTGGACGGCCCAGCTGAAAGCTGATGTAAACAAGGCAACGAAAACTACCAGCACAGACCTTCCAACCGAAAGGATGGACAGTCGTCTCGCCCACCTACTAGAGGCCAAACAGTCTCTATTGGCCCAGTGGAAGGGCCAGCGCCTTAATCGGAGGTTACGCAAACGCATATCTCAGCTGAACAAGACCATGATGGATCACTGCCGCATCCTTTCAAAACAGCAGTGGGACGAAATTTGTAATTCTATTGATGGTCAGGTTCGAAATGGCAAAACGTGGGACTTACTCAAACACCTCCTGAATGAAACCAACACCCGCACAAATCAGCGTCATTCGATCGTGAAGATACTTCATCAGGCTAAACGAACAGTGTCACCGGAAGATGTTGTCAAGAACCTCGTGGAAAAATATCTCCCGCTCCCCACGGGCCCTGTGACCCCTCACCCTGATTACTCTGGCAGCGACAACACTAACTTAGACGCCGAGTTCTCTATTGAAGATGTGCGTCGAGCTCTCCATAAGCTCAATGGCCGCTCAGCCCCTGGCCCCGATGGCATCACCAACAAGCTCCTACGCAACCTGGACGATTCTTCCGTCACTTACCTCACTGACACTATTAACGAGATATGGAAAAAGGGTGAGATACCCGATGCTTGGAAACTAGCTCACACGGTTCTCATACCCAAACCGGGAAAGGCGCCGAGCCTAGATAACCTACGCCCCATATCTCTCACGTCGTGCGTGGGCAAAGTGGCTGAGCACGTCGTCCTCAACAGGGTTGGTCGATACCTCGAATATAACGACTACATCCCGCACCACATGATTGGCTTCCGACCGGGGTTATCCACTCAAGACGCCATGTTACTCCTAAAGAATCAAATTCTAGATTGCGGAAACACTCGGGACACTCGTGCAATACTCGGACTCGATTTAGAAAAGGCCTTCGATACCATAACGCACTCGTCAATCTTGAAAGCGATCGCAGCCCTCGGCCTAGGTCATCGATTTTACTACTTTATTCGCTCTTTTCTCACTCGGCGCAAAGAAACATGCAGATACGGGGCAATGTTTTTTAACGCCTAGCGTTAGAGTTCATTTCGTCGAGGTTTCGGTGTTGGTGTTGGTGTCGGTGTTGGTGTCGGTGTTGGTGTCAGCGAAAAATTAGCGTTTTCAGTGAAGGAAAGTCTGAGAGATTCGAATAAGTTAGCTGCAAAACGTTTGGTCTGGGTGATAATCGAACCCAGGACTCCTTCGTGACAAGCATGTTCCACGGAGCGATACCACTGTTCGAAACTGTTTCATAAAAAATACATGATAACAGACAAACAAAAACGCTGTCAGATTGCCATGTAGCGGGTGGACTTTTCTTGACGCTTGTAATGTTGCGTAGTAGAATCATAGAATCACTCCAGGTGTCAAAACAAGTGAATGTCACAACGAGTGGATTGTTTAAAGTTGCACCCGTTTACTAAATGAGCAACTTCTCATAGCGTAGTCCCTTAAGGACATGTAGTTGTTACTTCGAAATTTTTCACTGGGAACTATGATTGCGTAGTGAGCACTTCGCAGCTGTACTTGCAGCAGGCATTCTGAGATAGTTCGAAACGTATGATGTTACACTCACACACATTTTTTTTAATGGATCACTGTTGAAGGCGATGCGCGCGTACGGGGGGCAATCTGTACTCTTGACGGCGAAGCTCAAACGTCATCAAACGTTTTAAGACAGACTTTCATGAGGCAGCTACCTCAATGGCGGGCTCGCTTTTATATGAGTACCAGTGATTCCCCCTGCCGCTTCGCACGATTATATAGGGTTGCAAGAAGGGCAAAGTGTAGTGAAGCCGCCGGCCTTTATAACCACCTCTCTCTCTCTCTCTCTCTCTCTCTCTATATATATCTATCTATCTATCTATCTATCTATCTATCTCTCTCTCTCTTTTTTCTCTCTCTCTCTCTGAGAGAAAACAAATCTTGTTTTATGAGTGAATACACAGGAAAGGGTTCATCATCATCATAATCATCATCATCCTCCTCCTCCTCCTCCTCCTCCTCATCATCATCATCATCATCAGCAGCAGCAGCAGCAGCAGCAGCCTGGCTATGTCCTCTGCAGGACAAAGGCATCTCCCATGTTCCGCCAGTCAAATCGGTCCTGTGCTTGGTGCTGCAAATTTATACCCGCAAACTTCTTAATCTCATCCGCCCGTTTAACCTTCCGTTTCCCCCTAATCAGCTTGCCTTCTCTAGGGATTCAGTTAATTACCCTTAATGACCAGTGGTTATTCTGTCTACGTGCTACAGGCCCGGCCTATGTCCATTTCCTCTTCATGATTACAAATATGATATCCTTAACCCCGGTTCAGTCCCTAATCCACTCTGCTTTCTTCTTGCCTCTTAAGGTTACACCTACCATTTTCCTTTCCACTGCTCGCTGCGTCGTCCTCAATTTAAGCTGAACCCTCTTTGTAAGTCTCCAGGTTTCTGCTCCGTACCTAAGTACCGGCAAGATGCAGCTGTTATATACCTTCCTCTTGAGGGATAGTGGCAATCTACCTGCCATGATTTGAGAGCACTTGCCAAATGTGCTCCACCCCATTCTTATTCTTCTAGTTATTTCAGTCTCGTGGTTCGGCTCCACAGTTATTACCTATTCTAAGTAGACATAGTCTTTTACAACTTCAAGGCCACTATTACCTCTATCGAAGCGCCGTTCTCCTCCGAGGTTGTTTCACACTACTTTCGTATTCTGCAGATTAATTTTAAGGCCTACTTTTCTGCTCTTCTTGTCTAACTCCGTAATCATGAGTTGCCATTCGTCCCCTGAGTTACTCAGCAATGCATTGTCATCAGAGAAGCGCAGGTTACTAAGGTACTCTTCATTAACTCTTATGCCTAACTGTTCTTATTCTAGGCCTCTGAAAAACTTCTGTAAGCATGCGGTAAATAGCATTGGGGAGATTGTATCCTTCTGCCTTACACCCTTCTTGATTGGTATTCTGTTGCTTTCTTTATGAAGCACTATGGTAGCAGTTGATCCCCCGTAGATTTCTTCCAGGATGTTTATATATGCTTCGTCGATGCCCTGATTCCACAGTGTCTGCATGACTTCTGATAATTATACTGAAGAAAACGCTTCCTCGCAATCTATGAAGGCTATGTATAGAGGGTGTTCATTCACACTCAATGATGGTGTTCGCAAAAGCAACAAACATTGGCTCATACAATGAGCCGGCGCTTGTTCTATACAAGGGACTATGCGTTGTAAAGAATGCGAGCAGAAAATAACTGTGCAGGTGATTAAATGTATGTTGTACGTGCACACTTTGCCATCGTCTTTGAAGATCCAGCGTATGTGAGATCAAAAAAATTTTAAAGGCTAAAAGTTGACATTTATTGACTTTCGAGAGTGAGAGAGAACAGACCACAGCAGAAGAGGTTAGCCCAGTTCAGCTAATAGTCTGATTCGTTGCCGATGACAGGTGGGTGGGGCAAGAGCCGCGGAAGGGAAGAGGTTACCAGCAGTAATGAGAAGACGTCCGCACAATATAGGTTTTTTTTTTTCAGTTATCCACGAAGCTCTTAATAAACATATTAACACTTCAGAGGACGAAGAACGGTCTGTTAAATCCCACTAGAGGAACTTTACAACCATTCCACCTACGGGAATCAGCACACTTGGTCATTGTCTCCACCATCACCAGCCTAAATTGTTGCATCGCAAAGCGGTCGTGAAACAACAATACAAACTCATATCTTAGAAACGCACTCGCACTACAGCTGCGGCTGACTTTGACAACCGGAATGCCAAGTGTTTCGTGCAACAGAAGATTCGACAGCAGCGTCAGGCCGAGTGGACACATTGTAATGTTCAAGGGCATTATCTTCTCGAGAAACATTTGCCAGCCTCTAGAAATCTATCCAAGCGAAGGGAAGCTTCCAGAAAAAAACAGTACCTTTAAGTGAGCTAGATAACCGCACACTTACGCTGGCACCTGTCTGAAGCTACGAGCGTGTCCATTTCCCTCGAAAAAACTGGTGAGTGAGTTGGCTCGTTGCCTCTTCGAAAGTGTTTGTCGCGCGCTTTCGTTTACCTTCGGTCATTATGCAAATAAGCGTCCAGTACTCTCACATCAGCCGTGACAGCATGAACAAACAACAGAAGGAGGGGTATTTCGGGAGCATTCGAAGTACTTTCGTTCAAGTCACTTAAGTGCGGATGTTTGTTTTGGGTGAGCTTCCCGAACACGCGCATACATGATCCAGGCAGTAGCAGAAACAATTACACAAATGCGAAAGCAATACGAGATGCATTGCTAACAGCATCGATAACAGCAGTTGTATTATTATTAATAAGAGAGATAGAGAGAGAGAGAAAGTGGCAAGAAAAAGGCAGGGAAGTGAACCAGGTTGCAGCCAGTTTGCTACCCTACAGGGGGAACAGAAACACAGACTGCCAAGTAGAACAATAGCTAGAGCGCAAAGGCAGACAGACGGGGCAAAAGTGCGTGGCTGGATCGTCCACGTGGTTTAAATGGGTCGACATTTGCCGACTACCTCGGCTCAATCGGCGCGGCACATCGCGAGCGCGTGCCAGCGAACGCGTCACACATCTGCAACGAAGACAGGGACTGCGGGCTTCTTTTCTGTTACAGCCCGGTGCACACTGTTCCCTTTCTCTCTCACTCGTCTTCTCGAACCGAGAGGTGCGGTGCGGCGGCAGGGGCGTCTCAGAGGACTCATCGCTCAGGACGCCTCGGCTCTGCCTCAGGTCTCCCTCGGCTGCTGGCGGCGTCGACGCCAACTGGAAAGGGAATCCTGCCGGCCCGCCGGAGTGCCCCAACCGGTAATAGCCCGTGCGCATACGGCTTCCTACTTGCATCTTTACTCTCTCTCTCTCTCTTTTCAGCGTTCTTCTCTCTATATCTTAACATACGGCAGCTGTTAGCACTCTCACCCGGCGTGGTTTCCTTTCCGCGGAGGTCTTTCGAAGTCAGTGGGTTTCGGAAACTTTTTTTTCCGCCGCCGCCACCGTTCTTCCGCAGGTTCACCCTTTCGCGCTTCGCTTCGCGGCGCTCGGCGCCGAGTGCGCCCGCCGCTTCCTTTTTTCAAGGCCTCGCGATGCGTGCAACCTCTACCTGCGGCCAGACGACAGCGGACGGCGAATACAGCTTTCACAGTTTATTTTCTCGTTGCCGTGTCGTGAACGCGAGGTGGCGATCCATGTCGCAGACATAGATTAGCCCTTTCTAACATCTCGCAGCGTCCGTACGCAAGTCAAAGCTAAGATGCTACCGTGGAATCCATTCATCGTATCATTGACAAGTGCGGCCAAGATTCTGTTAGCAGCCCTGTTGTATCTGATGAAAGACGTGCTTCTTTCTATAAAGTGAAACGTTTAAGCGATCCAGTATCAACACGAAGAAAGGACGTTGGTGCTGGATCTCAAGTCAGTGCAGACATGGGCCCCCTATTATTATTCAAGCTTGAATTGCGTTTGGAACGCCACAGTAGATGTAGAGCAGTGCGTTTGGAACGTAACGCCGCAGTAGATGTAGAGCAGGATGAACCCAGACAGGACTCGCTGGGCAGGACTGCATTTGTCCTGCCTGCATATACTCTAGTGTCCCGCCCCAAGATCAGTTTAAGGTCGAATAATATGTCGTACCTACTAGACGCTCTACATATATAGCCGGGCAAGTGATAACGGCAGTGATTGACATGAACACCTGATACGCGTTGTACAAGTCGACCACAGGAGTAATCAACCGCGAAAGATAAGCAATACGCCCAAGGCCACAGAATATCAAGTAAGTCGGCCATAAGCAAGTGTGTGCAGTGCATTTGCATGTGCTTGTTTTTTTTTTATTCCCATTCATTTTGCTTCATATGAAGGAGCGTTGTATGAGCACGACCTTGGGCATTCCTTGCATTGCATCAGTACGCTATAGCAAACGGGCTGCGCGGCGGTGACGCACTCGGGCTTTTAGCGTTCCGATGGGATTAAATCAAAGTCGAGACATGCTTTACTTTCAGCTAGACAATCTGCTCCTCAGGGCAGGTTTATCCGGCACTTCTTCCCAGTATCCGAATTCCTCTATTCGCAGCGCTATGTCAGTTGACAGACACTTTCCCGTTGCTTACACTTCATTGGTCACACTGTGCCAATTAGATCGAATCGCGGCGGCAGTGAGTGGTGGCTTCTGGCAGTGCCTGGAAATTGCACGCAAGTGATGTCACGCTATTGCGTAACGTTCCGACGCCATACGAGCCGCACGAACGCCGCAAGACCGATGGCAGCGGAGAAGGCGTGGCTCTCATCCAACCGGCGAACCAGACAGGTCACATTGCACGCTCGTTGCCACAGTAAAGCCTAATAGTAAGCACCGATGTCAAGCACGTGCGAGCGAATGCAGGAACAACAGTTACGCCATTCTTGCCAGAAAAGAGCAGACGTATCCCCGGATGCCGGGAAGTCCAAAGCACCACAGGTGCCTATCGTATGCCCAGCAAATATCAGTTCGTCGCACTGATCTGGGTCGTTCTGTGAAGTGAGAAAGAGTTGGCCAGTTCAACCTTGCCCCAGGCGTGCGTACTGAAAGCAAGCTCGTATAAAGGCTAGTTCCCCAGCGGTGGGTGGAGTCCCGTCGCCACGCGTCTCTCATCTTGGCTACCGCGCGCAGAGCGCACCGACAGCTCTCTCCGCATCTTTGGACCACTGGTGGAGGTACGTTGTTGGCTTTGCTTGCCACGTTCCTTTCGTTCGTCCTAAGATTGTAGCCGACAATGAGACAACACCTGCTACTTACTTTTATTGCTTTCTTGTCTACGACTCCCGAGTGACGGTAATTGCACCTATAGTTGTGTCAGCTGTACTTCTTTCCATTTCTCCTTGACTTTCCCAGTCGCGAATATCATTACGGTAATGTAGATTGCCTCCGCCGCCCCTGAGGTACAATGAATAAGGTGCTCGGCTACTCACCCAAAAGACGTGGTTTCGATCCCGGCCTCGATTGTTACATTTGGGTGGACGGGGAAGTTTAAAGGACCATGTACTATACGCGTCACATGAAACCCGAATAGCGGCAAGGCTTCATGATGGTACAGTGCACACCATCCAGTTATGATCATAGGCGGGCCCGTGCATCCTGTTCCGCAGCTCCGCGCATACATGGGGGGCCTGTTGAGGGTGATAAGTGGACAGCGCGCACTATATCCGTCACGAAGGCTTGTCGCTGTTTGGGTTTCATTTGACGGCGATAGTAGTGGGCATGCCTGTTAAGGAACCCCGGCAGGCCGAACTTATCTGTAGCGCTCCAGCATGGCATGTCTCATATTCATATCTTATTTGGACACATAAAGCCTAAGAAATTGCTTATTGTTACGTTGCATTCTGTGCTATGATTCCTTGCGAAAACGTCCATTTGTCGTGAGGCCGTGAGTGTTGTTTACGTACAGGTCGCATGGAAGGGACATTGAACTGACGGAAAAAGGAACGCTTGTAATCCTTTCACATTTCACAATGTCTTGGCACTAGCGCTTTGTTCGTGAGCTCATGATCGAAAGATTCTGACGAGCTTCCGGCGTGCGGGGAATCAATTAGCTTATTGAGTAGATTAGTGAATCCCTTCGAACATCACAATAAACGTATTGCTCTTTTTTAGATAGAGACGTAAAGGTCAAGGAAGCTCGTGGTTGTTTCTGGCCCCAGCATAAGGTTCCCTTGCCTGAGGCTGCATTTTATTCCAACCATAGTGCTGAAGGCAGCGATTACTGTCACGAGACTACATTATTACACGTTTACATATCCTCTCAATAGCTAAGCTTGCCCACCGTGCAACGTATACTTTCCTTGTGATGTGCCTGTTTATTTCAGCTGAGTATACGCATAGTACCATGAATGCAGATATAACATAAACCTTTTCGGTGGCTTAGGCGGTAACTACCGTAATAACCGCTCTTCGGTACTGCATTACAAGGAGTGTGTCATGTCGTAACGAAGACAGATTAGCAAGTTTTTAATTCAAGTAAGCACAATAAAATATCCGCAACGCTGTCGCAGTCCTGCAACTTGGTGTGTTTGCGGATGTTAGCAATCTGAGGAACTCGTCGAGTCTATAAGCGAAGGACATTATAGCGGTGAATGATCAACACTTGCTTCATCATACGATGTACGCTTTTATGTTTCAATAACGTTTTAGCGCATTTATACAATTTGTGGCCACGTGGGAAACAACGCAAAGGCATGCTAAGGAGGCAAGTCGGTACCGCCAATACATGGTCTGGCCGGGTGACTACAGTCTGGCATGTTGAGGCAGGAGATCGCAAAGCAGTAGCAGTGTGCCACTTAACGTGCCTAACAGTAAAAATAAAAAGCACGTCTGGGAGAATGCCCTGGCTTGATTACAAGAAATAATGGTAAAAATGATCGCGAGCGAAGAAATAAGGTAGTCATTACCCGTTACGCAGTAGGCGATACAAACAGCTGCGCTGTGTTTCGCGCGTTTCCTCGAAAGCGAGGAAAACGTGAGAAAACGCCTAATCTGTCCCTAAGTAGTGTCAGTGTCAATGGGGCGGGAGTGCCTTAGCGCTTACGTGAACACCAAAAAACAACTGCGAAACGAAATTCGCAAGTGTCGTATCGCCACCAGAAGGTCGGCGGTGGTGTAGCACGAGGGCTGGCAAGCTGTCAACATCCTCTAAAAACGCTTAATGCCCGTACGCTATGTTACGCGAAGCCACTTCTCCAGCACATGAAGAAGTGGCGAGGAGGGGGCAGTTTAGCTAAAACGAAGATTGAGATCCTTCGGTGAGAGCTTCACTCACGGTCATGGCGTACGCGGAGAGGGAGAGATGAACCCGTAATAACGAACATAGCAACCTCGCAAGGGCGTTACCTGCAGCTGCACCACAGCGCCACCGGCCACATGGATGGCCTGGCCTGCGGCTTGGCTAGGGATTTACTTTCTTCTTTCCCGCGGACTCACGCATTCCACGGCATGTGTCAACACGCAGCGAAGCAAGGCTGAGAGCGCGAAACCGTCCATCGCTGCAGGGTACGTAGACGCTGGTTCTGCTGTAACGCGTCGCATTTGATTCGTCCTTGTCTCCGTTAGAAATAGGCGTGCATTTGTCGTATATCAGCCCGTGGAATTTGTGTTGCGTCGCTGTCTGACCCAGATAACAATTCTGAAGTTCATTAGCCGGATAAATCATCAGTCAATTATGGAGAGCGTTTAAATTGTCCCCTCGGAGAAAACCTATATTCTTCACAGTACTGAAAGCCTCTCTGAATACGGAATATAACGTGCGGGTATAGGACGTTCTTGGTGATTCAAGACACTCAAGGCATTAGAAGGAAGTTAATTATTGACCCGCGTGGGTTCCACTTGCGTGTTAAGCTGACATTCTTAATGTACCACGCCCGGGTACTACTCCCGCTGCCTTTGAATCCAGTGGCTTCCGCCGGCCGGCACCGTGATGGAATCGAACCCAACACCTCCCACAATGGAAGCAGACGCTCATATCATTATGCCACCTCTGTGGTGACATTCATATTGTAACTATTCAATAACGTTTTGCGAGAGTGCCGCAGCTTTAATCATTTCCAATAGCACTGCTCCTATCTCAGGCTTCCGAAAGACCGTTCGCAAAGCTTGCTAATATAACCGCCGCAGCCGTAATGCCACAGTACGCTCACACTGGTGTGGTCCGGCGAGCTCACAGTTCCCAGTCACCAGACACAACAACGACGTCAGCGACGGGGACAACATAAACAACCTGTGTCCAACGTGTTTTGCTTGAGTTACCAAGACCTTGCATTTTATTCTAGCTACTCGTGCTCCGTCAGTGCGGGAGTGCGCTTATCAGCAGTGAGCTTGGAAAAGTGATCGCGCCAGCACAGGCAGTAACAAAGAAAGATAATTAGTTGGGACCAACGTGGCCTTCGAGAGTTATGTCTCGAAAAAAATAAATATATGAATGCAGGCATGCCAACACACGCAGTGCCCAAGGCGCTCCCATTTGTTGCGCCGTAGCGTAACACGCGTCCCGCATGCCTGATCTTCGTCGCCTTCCTTTCGCTGGTCACGACCTGTGCGCTCGAGGCGGTGGCGGGCTGGCTCTGCGTCTTGAGAAACAATATACCGCCGAAGATGCGGAACGTGATGCCTGCGGTCGGCTGTGGCGACGCAGTCTTTCGGCGGTGCGTGGCCCACTTTGGACAATGGCTCTTCCAGAACACGGCGGGCGCCTGCTCGCTATCCTCTGCACCCTTACCTCCACTTTCTGTAAATTGTCGGAAAACTGTTGACCGTCAGTACAAGGCGCAATTGAAAAGAGTTTGTTCCAGTTTACAGCTGCGCAGGTATATTTTCCAATCGTGCTAACAGACTGCACCATTTTCTATCTATCTATCTATCTATCTATCTATCTATCTATCTATCTATCTATCTATCTATCTATCTATCTATCTATCTATCTATCTATCTATCTATCTATCTATCTATCTATCTATCTATCTATCTATCTATCTATCTATCTATCTATCTATCTATCTATCTATCTATCTATCTATCTATCTATCTATCTATCTATCTATCTATCTATCTATCTATCTATCTATCTATCTATCTATCTATCTATCTATCTATCTATCTATCTATCTATCTATCTATGGCGTAGCCAGGGGGTGGCACACCGGGCCTGTAACACCCTATCCCCTGAATTTTTTTTTCGCCATGGCATACATAGCGCGAAATGATTATTTGGCGGGTCAAGGAAGGAAAATAGAGAGAAAAGAAAGGCAGCGAGGTTAACCAGCCTATAGGCAGCCGGTTTGCTACCCTGCGCATGGGAGAGGGATGGGGGAGATGACAGAGAGCAGAGAGGGAAGAGAGAAACAGCACATTCGGCAGCACACGCGCGCACACTCAGTCATAGTCTAGTCTTGTCTTTCGCGGTGTGTGACATTGCTGTTACAGTCGCTTGTTCAAGTCGGTGTCGCGTAGGAATTTCAACAGAGCTTTCGTCGCCTTCTGTTGGAATGTTTTCTCTCGGGCACTTGACAGAATAGTGTCCACAGACATTTGGCTGTTGTCGATGCGCGCAAAAGCGGACGCCAGTGACTGTCTTTGGATTTCATACAACGGACAGTCATACAGGATGTGGTGTAGCGTCTCTTCACAATGACAGGCATCGCAGAGAGCGTTGTCGGCCATTCCTATGACAAAGGAATAAGATTTTGTAAATGCCACTCCTAGCCATAAGCAATGAAGAAGGGTGGCTTCTCTTCGGTCGAGTCCAGTGGGCATGCGGAAAGCCATCAAAGAGGACAGGTGGTGTTGACGATTCGTATCGATGCTTGGTGGGCACCATAGTGAAAACGTGATTTCACGCGCAAGTCGTCGAAGATTACTGGCAGCATCGGTCCTCGAAAGTGGTATGACTTCTCATGTTCCTTCAAGGGCTGCCCGCGCGGCAGTATCGGCATGTTCGTTCCCTATGATGCCGCAGTGACTTGGCAGCCATTGAAGCGTCACATGATGCCCTTTCTCGTGTGAAGTGTGGAGAAGGCATCGGATTTCGAAAACAAGCTGTTCGTATGGCCCGCGACGCAGTGCTGAGAGCAGAGATTGTAGGGACCCTTGAGTCGCTGAAAATCGACCATTGTTGCGGTGGTTCCCGATTGACCATACAAAGGGCAACGCGTAAAGCAGCTAGTTCCGCTGCTGTAGATGCCGTGAAGTGGTCAGTCCTAAAGCTGATGGTAACACCTCTTGCTGGGATAACTACTGCCCCTGACGAACACTGGTGGTTCGTGGAACCATCGGTGTACACATGCATGTATGCTGTCTGAATATTTCTCATGCAAAAGAAGAAGAGACAGTTGTTTCAGCACGGGCGACGAAAGCTCAGATTTCCTCCGGATCCCTGGTACACTAAGATGCACTGTGGGTCGAATAAGACACCAAGGTGGTATGGATGGTTTAGATGCAGGAGTGAAGCCCGAGGGAAGTTTATCGTTGTATTTCACAATCATTTTGGCAAACGATGCTTGGCGCCTCTCTGAAGGCAACGGTGCAAGGTGATGGCAGGGAGCACGTGTGAAGTGTCTGATGTGCGTTCTGAGGACTTCTACAACAATGTGAGTTTGTATCGGATAGTCACCAGCAATTTCAATTGTTGCTTCCGTTGACGTACATCTGGGCAGACCGAGGCACACTTTCAGCGCTTGGGCTTGTACTGCCTGTAGAACACGAACATTGGTCTTGCAGGTATTGCTAAGCACGGGCAAGCTATATCTGAGGAAACCGAGAAACAGGGCCCTGTAGAGCTCTATCATTGCGTCTACTGACATCCTCCACGTCTTTCCTGCCAGGAACTTGAACAGTTGGGAAATAGTGGTCAGGCGCTTCTTCATATAGGTCACATGCGGACTCCAACAGAGGTCCCTATCAATAATGATGCCCAGAAACCGGTGAGTTTTGGCGTAAGAAATCGGTCGCCCGCAGATTGAGATGACATAAGGGGTCATTGCTTTGCGAGTGAAGGCCACCAGCGCGCATTTTTCTGGCGGGTCAATCTTTTCATGAAATGAAAGAGGTGACTCAAGGTACAACTTTAGGTTTTACCTCAAGAAGAGAAGAAAGTGCAATGGAGATTCATATTACGTCGGCCATAATGAAAAATAGCGTGGTATAGTGAAGAAGCCGGAATTTTATTTCTTAGGTGAACGTTCAATGCCATGAAAAGCACAAATCAATTAAATGTGGATACCTAAGCTAAAATCTGCATACAGAAGTTCAGAAAGACGAAACCTGATATTTATGACACTCATGCTGAACTTTTGCTTATCAGCTGTACCGCAAAGTTTGTAGTAAAAATGTTTGCGTATATTGCATAGAGTCGCGAGGCTAGGGAACCAGCGGAGCTAATCGGCACCTTCTTGTGTCTGGCCTTTGCGAGGTGATGCTCTGTATTGCTCATTTTTTAGAGGTCGTGCTTTGTTGTGCAAGGTATCACGAAGTGATGTTCGGTTTTGCATTTTTTTATGTAAGAATTTGCTCTTATCAACCAAGTTTCTCTTATGTCACAGCCAGGTTTGGTTAAGTTATACTTTGTTACATCAGGCTACACTCAAATTCAGTCCGAGTAAGTAACCGCGAATCAAATATGTTGCTGAGTTCCGGCAAATGTTACCGCGCAGTCACTACTGATGCTCAGCTATTAGGACAGGACAAGCTATAGGCGCCTATCGGCTGCACTGTCTCTGTAGCTTTGCGCCGCTTGTTGTTAAGTTTCTTTTTTCTTCTTCTCTTGCTTCCTTTTCCTCTAATTACTTTCGTTCTTGCTAATATATTTGTTTTGGCTCTGTTCATCTCTATTTATTTCTCTCCATATTCTTTCTTTCTCCTTCTTTCTTTTATTTCTATTTGTATATTTTTTTTAATTATCTCTCATTTTGTCGCTTCCTGTCTCTTCGTCTTCCTTTCCTTTCACTCTTTTCTCACACTTCCTATGCTTTACTCCCTCCCATCCTTCTCTTTCTCACATCCTTTTTCTGCCCCCTTGCTACATATACTTTATTATGCGATGCATGCGGCGCTCTGTTAGCGTTATTCAATAGCCGAGTGGTTAGGTCGCTTGGTTTCAGCTCGTCCATACGGGGGTTCCAGTATCGCCTTCACATGAAATTTTTTCATCAAAATGTTTAGTTATCTCTCTATATCTATCTTTTTCATCCATCCACCTTTTTATCTTTGTACTCGTTCCCTTATATCAGAGTTATTGCATCTCAAGCTGGACAAATCGGCGCTACGTGCTCTGGTAGCGAAGCGCAGGAAGAAGAGAGAACGAGAGGGCGCGCCTATTCATAGGTGATGATCATTCCTTTTTGCTTTGCACGGTCTAAAGTTGAGCTTCAATACGTCACACAGCTGTTAAAGTTCAGTAGAGAAAAAAATGTTAAGGAATCCAAGCTCCATCGCACTGATACAAAAGCACTTGCGAAAAACAAAAGTTTGGGACCTTGGCTTACGGTCTCGTAGATGCTAAAGGCCACAAAAGCCCTGTTCTTCCTCAAGTCGACCAGACTTCTCGAACGTTTCTGATCTACTAGCCTGTGTACGCATGTCTTGTGCGTTCGCATTAGGTGTTTTTAGGTTAGCTTTCCTACTCTTCTTTTTTCTTATCTATCTTATCTTTTATTTCTGTTCCCCTCACCGTGTATGATGCAGCCAGCAAAATGCGTGATTGTTAACCTCTTTGTCTTCCTTTTTTGTTTATCTCTCTTCCTCGCCAATAAGCATGTTGATTGTAAATGTTGCGTCAAGTATCGATCCTGTGTTATGCAGACAAGCGCTGAAGGTGCACAAAGATGCGATCGTTGCTGGTTCTCTTCTGGGCATCAGTCGCAGTGTCCAAGAAGGCGCTACCGCATATCATCTTTGTCCTCGTTGATGATCTGGTAAGTGCACATGGGTAATTACAAGTAGGGTGTCTTATTGTCGTCTAAACAAGGCATCTTCCACGACGTGTTGTGGACACCGTTGATCGCGCAACAAAATGATGGATAAATAGATGGATGGATTGATGGATGAACGGTTTAACGGAAATAGCTTCATCGTCAATATAAATAGCTTTGTCGTCAGTTTCTCCTGTGGTCTTTCCTGTGCAAGTTCAAAGTATACCAGAGAGGATGGTCACTTGCTCAGAATGTCACGTCGGAATTCGCCCCAGTGCGTAAATCGGAGCCGCAAGTTGCGGTACTGTTTAACTTGTGACTGATGAACGCACATTCTCGTTTTTAAAGAAATATGACCACGATTCAAGAAGAACGATAGTTAATAATAATGTCACGCGGGGTTTAACGTCCCAAAACCACGTTATAACTGTGTGAGAAGCCGTAGTGGAGGGCTCCAAAATTTTGAGACCATGTGATGCTATTTAACGTGTGCAGATATCGCGATGTATACGGGCCTCTACAATTTCGCTTCCATCAAAATGCGACCACCGCAGCCGCTATCGAACCCACGACCTTCTGGTCAGCAGCCGAGCACCTCAACCACCACACCACCAGCGGCGGACGAAGAACTGATAGCTCACATTGAATGTGAATGAAATAACGAGACCTATTTTTTCTATATGTATAGGCGGGGTACTGACAAAGTGAGTGGTCGTTAACAATAGCCCAGCGCTCGTTCAGTCCACTGCGGTGGTGCAGCTGTTACGGTGCTCGGCTGCAGAACCAAAGGTCACGGGTTTGATCCCCACCACGGTGGTCGCATTTCGATGGAGGCGTAATCGTAGAAGCCCGTGTACTGTGCAATTTTAGTGCACTTTAAAGAACACTACAGATGGTCGGACTTTCCGGAGCCCTCCACTACGGCGTCCCTTCTAATCATAATGTGTTTTTGGGACGTGAGAACCTAGCCCTTATTATTATCGTTAGTTCTCGTTTAGAATACGTTTCCCTATTACGCAATATTTGATTGTTATCAGTGTGACAGGACAACCTTTAACACGGTCGTCATGCAGGAGCAGACAGTGTCGGCTAAATTTATTGCCGAGTGTGAATAAGCTCCAATGAAGAAACTAAATTCGCCAAGAACAATGCGCGTACCTCGTATGTTTTGTGCGAAAGTGCTTGGACAGACGTAACACTTTTTTTGTAACACCTGAAAATGTTAACTTATTAAGCAGGAGTTATTCCAAAGGGCACTGCATTTTGTACGATTTCATGCATACCTATTTGGAGTTTATAAGAAACATGATACTCAAGATGAAAATTCACCGAGTGTTTAGATGATGAGTATAGCAGAAAAATTCAGGGAAAGCCGTCAGGTGCACGTCGCATTCGCTAATTAAATTACAAAGCTCTAAATGGTTAAAAGCGTATGTGACGGAAGAAATGAGAAAGCTCTTGGCAGCATGCATGGTAGCTGGATACAAAGCATTCACTGATGACAGTTGTCATTAGCTGACCTCTCTGACGTCTTCCTGCCCTTGCTGAGCATATGAAGTTCGAAGATTGCGAAGAAGTTATCTATGCGAAAAAAATCAACGCCCTTTCGTCATAATCGCCACGTGAGAAGGATTATATCTAGAACAACATATTGAGTTTTCACTGTGTAGTGCTCCTGCAAACTGGCGGCCACTCAGACACCAGCGTCATTACATCCCATTACTCCCTTCCATACAGGGCTGGGACGACGTCAGCTTCCATGGCTCATCGCAAATTCCCACCCCCAATATCGACACACTTGCGGCTGACGGCATCATCCTCAACAACTACTATGTTCAGCCGATGTGTACGCCGTCCAGGTCAGCACTTATGACCGGCATGTATCCTATACACACAGGTGAGCTCTCGGAAGATCACCACCACTCAACGGCTCACGGTCATTTTTAATACAAAATTCATGCATACATACGCTACATGTTCTATAAAGATACACGCTACACAGAATGCAGCGTAGAATATGTCTAATTTCTCTCGGGCAAACATTGGTCAAACTGAAGTGCCATACCAATTCGATCTCTCAACAGGATGTCGATCGGTTGTGCGTTTTGCAGCCACCTTCAACCACTCTCTATAGTTGTCCTTCAAATATGCAAGCAAAAAAGTATGTTCGCGACGTTTGAATATGTTCTAGACAACTGCAACAAAACATTTACGGCATATTGTAGAGAAGAAAAACCAAATCCGCTGCGCCGCAATGCGGATTCGTGATGCAGTGAAGCATATCAACAACCAGAAGGGACCCTTGTCACGGGACATGGTGTGCCTCCTTTCGTTGCTCCTCATCCTCAGTTCTCTTTTCCACCCCTTTGCTACACTGTACACACGTGTTGTCACTCGTCTGCTTGCTCGAATGGACATTGTACTGGAGATTAATGGTAACACGTGTGCTACCCCGGTGCTTGGCCCAATCATCATAACAATTTCTGTTGATCCTTAAATGTCACGTTAACTTATGCGCACCAACTAATTATTTAGAGAGGGCGGCAGTGCAGCAGTGATAAGTGTAACTACAAGCTGTAGTAGTCTCAAGCACTTGGTCTATAAATTAATGGTACGTCTCCCTCATTGTGTAGGCGCGCGCGTATTTGTTTACGATAAGTAAGTGTCTCACTTGCAGAATGTGACCGCTGAAAAAAAGAATACAGCTTGATGCGAAGCCGTCACCGATATACGAAGAAAATACTACTTGAAAACGTTCGGTGGGTTATGTAACAAAAATTGTGTTCATTCATTACTCATGTTAAGATATATGATTTCCTTAGTCCAGAATTTATTTATTCTATTCATGCAATTTCCTACTAAATTTTACTTCAGTGGGTGATCTGGCCTCTACAGTTTACTTTCCTGAATGAAACCAGTGACGACATTCATTACGCAATTAGTGACATTTCAAAATGTACCATTAGCAAGCTAGCCTCGAGCTTCTTACACGTTCGAGTAAGACTCCAAGTTTACGTTCCACGCATACCATTAAAACGTAAACCGCAAAGGGGCCGCTAACTGTAATCTACAACTCAGCGCCAGCCAAATTCGTAACATATGCACTATTCTGTGAGCGCAGCGGGCGGTAAACTTATCAAACCACTGGAATAAAGTCTTTCACGTATGAAGGAACGTAACTTCCGTCACTGCCAATACTTTTTTTTTTTTATTTCGCAGGTATGCAGCACTGGGTTATCAGGAGTCCCGAGCCATGGGGCCTGCCTCTTGAACTGAAGATTATGCCACAGTATCTTAAGGAGCTTGGTTACGCAACGCACCTGGTCGGAAAGGTAAAGTACTATTGTTATCAGAAAAAAAAAGAATGAACAACAGTCAAACGTGTTTTGATGCTGTGCATGAACATAAAGGCTTTCGGGAAGACGCAGGTTTCGCTCGCAGCATAACAGGTTCACATCAAGGAAGAGAATAAGGAGGGTTCTGATTGTGCGGTTGGATGCAGCATCGCATCGGCCCACAGGCAAACGACCAGCCCACGCGTTTTTTTTTTTCTTTTTAAAGTTCGGTCATGAGCAAGCCAGAAATATGCCCACAGCGGGAGCTATAGTCAACAGTTGTCCAGATCGGCAAAGGCCAATGCCGAGCAGAGGCACAATGCTAATGGAGTACTCAGTTTGTCCCATGACCCAACAAAAATATCTATTGCTTCTATGAACACTCCATTTTATTGAGGCATTAGGTATTGATAGAGAGAGAGAGAGAGAGATAGAGAGAGATGGTAAGAAGAAAGACAGGGGGGTTAACTGGAAAGCAAGTATCTGGTTTGCTACCCTGCACTGGAGAAGGGAGAAATGGGGACAGAAAAGTAAGGAAGATGGAATGAGACAGATTGAGGGACGCGTTGTAGACAGAGATCGCAGTTCTGTACTGTTTGGTCCTAGCTGCCTTGCTGTCGAGAGGTGGATGTTTATATCCCTTCGATTACTCCATTACTATCGTACAAGATTTGAAGCATAAAAAAATCACTACGTACAAAATGCGGTGACGTTATCGCTACCTGCCTGTTAGAAAGCTGCAGTCATTGAGAAAATAACCGAACTACACCAGTACATTAAAGACGTCAAGTTCTACATGGTATGTGCGGTGTCACTGTGTGTTACCATGGACCGGCAAGGAGACCCTTCGATTTTTGTTATTAATTGCAGGACATTCAGTAATAAAGGGTAAATTTCATTACGCGTGTGATGTAATGAATGCCAACATGACTGCAAAGTGCTATATTGTGTCGGCACACTGCTGTTTGTGTTGACCGCACGAGAAGACTTCTTTTTGTTTATTTGTGTTTTTGGTTACGTTGGACTAGTACGGTTAGGACTACGAGCAGCGAAAGCTAATCACGATGGTTGCATTCTCAAAATGACTTGACCATTTCTATATAAACTAGCTGTCGACAGGTACGCAGTGCTTTACGCGGAGGTTTTTATCCGCCACGACGTATGATGGGAACCAGTGAAAGTGTAGGTGAAGTACTAAACTGATGGAGGTGAGAGATGCAGGGCGAACAGTTAAGCTTGTGTTACTTCCAATGTTACCGCATTACGTTCAGATGTGCCACAGTTGCCTGAGATTTTATCCTTTGTCTTTCCATTACAGTGGCATCTGGGCTATTTCGAGAAAGAATATACACCAACATACCGTGGCTTCGACTCATTTTTCGGATACTACAACGGATTCATCGACTATTATCACCATAGAAACCAATATGTAAGTGTAACTTTTACAGCTAAATTTTTCACATTGACGCCTAATGTTGCCATTCTGTCACCCTCGTTTTTACACAATGAGTTGTCAAACACTTTCAAAAAGAAACCCTGGCACATATCCGGAGGCGGGTATGTGCCACTGGTATGCGGGTATGAGCCACAGGTGATTGACATTTTACATCTACCCAGGAACAGTGAGAAAAAACATGGTTAACTTTAACACTTGATCGTTAAGAAAAAGCTGCCCTAGGCAGCGTTGATTGGAATATTGCAAGCAATAAATGCCACTGCCCCAGCAGGAATGAAGCCCCTGTGGTATTCTGCGTGGTAATGAAGTATTCTATAAGAGAGGCACGCCAGGCCTTGGGAGGACTGTTAAAATAGACCCTTAATGTTCTAGTAAGATCTACTGTGGTTTAAATACTGGCCATTCAATTTTATAACATTACATATGTACTCCTAGATGATACAGCCGTCATGTCAGGTTAAGGCAAACTGTAGTTCGGCGCCATCTGCTGAAGTTGACTTGCATAGAAGTGTTGAACTCTACCATCCTCGCACGCGCCAGCGCAAACACCAGTGCTTCATATCAGCTTACCACTTCTGATGTGGCTAATATTCATGTTGCTGTTGGTATTGCTACACAACTGTAGACAACTGGTATTATAAAGAATATGTGGCTGTTTAACGTATGTGTGTGGGTGGGATTTGTACATAGATTTAGCGCCACTTCATAACGTCTCACTCAATAATGAAATAAAACGCATTCACCCTCCGTCCGCGTGCTTCGCATAACATCTATTGCCTAGGCACGTGGGATCTGCTGAATTTTGTTTTTAATGGGCGTGCCACGAATCATTCACGTTCTGCAGCTTTTGAATAGAAACAATAGTCCTTGCGTTAATTATTCAAAAGTTTTGAAATGAGCTTTTGTTAAGTCATCTTGGTCTTACTATAGGTCCAGCAGCTATTCAGCTTCGATGAAGGGTTCTTTTGCGAAGAAGACAGAAACGAGACAGTCACTACACTTTTCATAAATATTGTCATTGTTCATAAAAAGAACTTTCAAAGTAGTATACTTTAGAGTAGAGTATATCGCATTTGTAGTATGTTGTGCATTATTTATGTTATGATATAGCGCAGAGGTTCTCGAGCATGTTGGTGCCAAGGTACCCTACTAAGTTCCTTTAGTGCTGTAATGAATGAGGTCTGCATTTTCAGTTCACTTCTTGGAAGCTAGAAATATAAATATTTTTTATGTCCTTGACTTTTTTTTTTCATCGCAGAAAAGGCACGTCGGCCTGGACTTTAGGATGAACATGGTGCCATCGAACAAGAACTTTGGTCAATACGCTACCGATGTTTTCGCCGACCACGCCATATCACTCATCCAAAGCCACAACAAATCTCAGGTGACTTGCTAAATCAGCTATGCCTTCATAGGATTGGACGGTGTTCCATAACCTATCGTCTTTGTTCACACGAATTGCGAACTGCGAATTGAGTTGAAATTGGGGAAATACAAAATGTATTCGAAGACGAAACTCTTCTTCGTGATCAGGTGGTGGTATTCAGGTCTGGCGAGAATAAATTCGCCTGCTTGTGTTTGGTCCAAAAAAAAAAAAGCTTTTTTTGTTGCCATTGTTTACAGAGCTTACATTCTAACACGGTCCAGGTTTGCATGCTTATTCTTGCCTCTTTCGTTTTTTCAATCCCATTCACGACAGTGAATACGTACCTACCCTATCTACTTTACGCTGAACTAGACGACAGAATGGTTTAGGAGAAATTAATCCTGAAAGATAATGCATAATGCGTGATTCAGACCTTAGAAGAATTTCAACATTTTTACTAATGCACAAGTAATACCGGCTTATAGTACATGGGCATAAACGTGTTAGGTACTGCACATTACCAAGGAATAATTGTGGTCGTCGTGATTTTTTTGCGTGTAACCGGTGGTTTAATATAGACGTAGTCAAGAACTGTTGAGATGAAAACGTGTAAACAGTGGCTGCGCTGGAGCCCACTGCTCGACAAGCGAATTTGTCATTCTTATGTTGGAGCCTTGAAGAAGACAAATGCGCTTGTCAAAGCATCGGCTCTGGCACAGCCCCTATTACGAATTTTTCATCGCGTGCTTTCATCTAACCACTACACCTTCCAAGTAATCTCGATTTAGCCGTTGGTTCGGTTTCGCTGTGTGATTAAAATTTCTAAAGAACTTGGCGGTGCTATTTTTCCTTCAAAGTATATGGGGAATCCATGCATGCTAGCGCCCGTTTATCGTGCTCGTAAAGTCCCTATTCTGCTGACAGCATTGACTTAATAAAGTTAGCTCTCATGTTGTTCTTTAGATACTCCAGCTTCGCCTGCTTTTCTAGATTGCGTAAAAGTTATGTTTGTCCTTTGAGAGGACTAACTGTTGGGCAGAATAACATTAGCTGACGTTCGTTTTGAAGGTGTTTCGCCAGGGCCGCAGGCAGCGAACAATCAAGCCGCCGTTCTTTCGCGCTCAAGGTTGACGGACGCTTGGCTCTTCTTCATTATTTTCGGTAGCCTCTGTTTTTGTACCTCAGCCACCTGGCACCTCACGCAGCCACGGAGAAAGAGCCCCTGCAGGCACCGCAGGAGAATGTTCGCAAGTTTGACTACATTGGGGACAGCAACAGGACCATGTTTGCAGGTAATAGAGGGTCCCAGCTGCTGCACCCTTCATGCAGTAACTACGCGCAATATCTGAAAGATAAAAAAATCGTTGTGCGCAACTACATGGTCGCGATAACGAAGAGCAATCACAAGAATCTTTAATGATATGTTCGACGGAACGGCTATTTCACACCAGCGATAATGGGGTTTAGAATAACGAGGGTTAAATATGTTTCTTAACAGTATTCTTAGGTTGTTGGCGTATTGTTCTTCACCACTGCAGTGGTCAAGAACTTATTACAGTTTCTTCGTATACAGCTGTCCCGTAAGCACCAGTGTTCAATTAAAGAAAGTATGACATTATTCTGACTTAAAATTTTATTTTTCTATTTTTTTGTATTTTCTTGTCTATCCAAGTCTTTCACTAGATGCGAAGTTCGGTAGGTCCCAGATGCAATAGATCACCTTTTTTTTTATTCGTACTAAAATGGTTGGTACTAGGAGAATGACTGTATTGAGAGCCAAATAAAGTTGAATAGCGAGATTTATCAATCAGTAAGGACGAACAAGCTAAGAAGAAATGCATTCGGGGATGGCCACTCACTGGTAACACTGCCATGCAACCATGTTTTCGTACTTTGAGCAGCCACTTTTTGTGCAAGGGTTTACATGCGGACCATTCGGACTATATGAGGCTCGAAAGATTATGGGCTCCAATAGTACAATCTGCAGTGCTCTTGCCCGTATTCCTTATATGCATAGTTGCGCTAAGCTGCAAAGCGCAAGTTCGTGCGCGACTTAGAAGAGCACCCAGATTACAGGACAAGCAAACTCGCAACCCCCTACATTGTTGCTCTGCAGTAATATATATATATATATATATATATATATATATATATATATATATATATATATATATATATATATATATATATATATCGACATTTGCCGTGTGCCACCTGTGCTTTTCTATACGTCCCATAACGCATGTGCGCTCTGTAGTTTAGAATCATCAACCACCTGACCATGCGAAAAATTGTCTTAGGCATAACACATATAGTACTGAGTTTTGGTTTCTTTGTCTGTCTGTCTGTTACATGGTTTGTTTGTTTGTTTGTTTGCTTGTTTGTTTGTTTGTTTGTTTGTTTGACGGTATTGATCTATCTCGCTTGCAGCCATGGTTGATAACCTAGATGAGTCCATAGGAAGGCTCACTGAAGCTCTGCAGACTGCCGGTATGCTGGAGAACTCCATAATAGTGTTCAGTAGCGACAATGGGGCACTGCCCTACGGCACCCACTCCAACAGCGGATTCAACTGGCCCCTGCGCGGGACAAAGATGTCGCTATGGGAGGGCGGAGTCCGAGTGCCAGCGTTCATATGGAGCCCACTGTTGCAGAAGCGTCGCCGCGTGTCCCGGCAACTCATGCACATATCCGACTGGCTGCCTACACTTTACTTCGCTGCAGGTAATTCTATCGTACGAATCGGCCCACCAGCGGCCACTTGAACAACAAATTAAATTGTTTTTTTCATTCATCTCAGAAGGTAAAAAAAGCGAACAAAGCAACAAAACGTTCAACCACCTCTCACATTACGTAAAAACATACACTACGTGCGTGTATACACAGATGAGACCCATTTGCCCGTGAACAGGAATTACTCAAACGAGATAAAAGACATAATGAGTCTTCGAATAGATCATCATCATCATCCTCCTCATCAGCCTGACTACTTCCACTGCAGGACAAAGGCCTCTCCCATGTGTCGCCAGTTAACTCGGCCCTGTGCTTGCTGCTGCCAATTTATACCCGCAAACTTGTTAATCTCATCTTCCCACCTAATTCTCTGTCTCCACCTAACCCGCTTGCCTTCTCTAGGAATTCAGTTAGTTACCCTTAATGAACAGTGGTTATCCTGACTACGCGCTACATGCCCGGCCCATGTCCATTTCCTCTTCTTGATTTCAACTATGTATCCTTAACTCCTCGTTTGTTCCCTAATCTATCCTGCTCTCTTCTTCTCTCTTAAGGTTACACCTACCATTTTTCTTTCCATTGCTCGCTGCGTCGTCCTAAATTTAGGCTCAACCCTCTTTGTAAGTCTCCAGGTTTCTGCTCCGTAGCTAAGTACCGGCAAGATACAGCTGTTATATACCTTCCTCTTGAGGGATTTGCCAATCTGCCTGCCATAATTTGAGAATGCTTGCCAAATGTGCTCCACCCTATTCTTACTCTTCTAGCTACTTCAATCTCGTGGTTAGGCTCCGCGGTTATTACTTGCCCTAAGTAGACATAGTCCTTTACTACTTGAAGTGCACTATTACCTATCTCGAAGCGCTGCTCTCTTCCGAGGTTGTTGTACATTACTTTTGTCTTCTGCAGATTAATTTTAAGACCCACCTTTCTGCTCTCCTTCTCCAACTCAGTAATCATGAGTTGCAATTCGTCCCCTGAGTTACTCAGCAATGCAATGTCATCGGCGAAGCGCAGGTTACTAAGGTACTCTCCATTAACTCTTATCCCTAACTGTTCCCATTCTAGGCTTCTGAAAACTTCCTGTAAGCACGCGGTAAATAGCATTGGGGAGACTGTGTCCCCCTGCCTTACACCCTTCTCGATTGATATTCTGTTGCTTTCTTTATGAAGCACTATGGTAGCAGTTGATCCCCTGTAGATTTCTTCCAGAATGTCTATATATACTTCATCTACCCCCTGATTCCGCTGTGTCTGCATGACGGCTGATATTTCTACTGAATCAAACGCCTTCTCGTAATCTATGTAGGCTATGTATAGTGGTTGGTTATATTCTGAGCATTTATCTATTACCTGATTGATAGTATGAATGTGGTCGATTTCAACAATAGCCTGTTCGAAATCCTGCTTGTTCTTTTGGTTGATTTAATTCTAACATTTTTTTTACTCTGTTAGCAATTACCTTTGTAAATAGCTTGTGCACTACAGAGAGCAAGCTGATCGACTGTAATTCCTCAAGTCCTGGTCATCTCCTTTCTTATTTATTAGGATGATGTTAGCATTCATCCAAGACTCTGGTATTCTTCCCGTCAGGAGACACCTCGTAAACAGGGTGGCTAGTTTTTCTAGCACAATCTGTCCTCCATCTTTCAGCAGATCTGATTTTACCTGATCCTCACGAGCAGTTTTGCCTCTTTGCATGCTCTCGTAAGCTTTTATGACTTCTTCTATCATTACTAATGGGGTGTCATCTGGGTTACTGCTAAATCTTATGGTATTAAGGTCGTGGTTGTCCCGGCTACAGTACAGATCTCTGTAAAACTCCTCCGCTATTTTAACTATCCTATCCATATTGGTAGTTATTTTGCCTTTTTTGTCCTTTAGGGCATGCATCCGATATTTGCCTATCCCAAGTTTCCTCTTCACTGCTTTGACGCTTCTACCGTTTTTCAAAGCATTTTCAATTTTCTTCATGGTATACCTTCTTACATAGGAAACCCTACGCCTATTAATCAACTTCGAAAGCTCTGCCAGTTCTATTTTGTCGGTTGCACTTGAGACTTCCATGATTTGACGCCTCTTAATGAGATTCTTCGTTTCCTCGGAAAGCTTGCCAGTGTCCTGTCTAACTTCCCTGCCTCCAACTTCCACTGCACACTCCGTAATGATACTCGTCAGATTATAATTCATTAAATCTACGCTAAGGTTAGTTTCCTCACTAAGAGCCGAGTACCTGTTCTGAAACGAGACTCTGAATTCCTGTACTTTCCCTCTCAGTGCTAGCGCATTGATTGGCTTCTTGCGTATCAGTTTCTGTCGTTCCTTCTTCATGTCTAGGTGAATTCGAGACCGTACCATTCTATGGTCACTGCATCGTACCTTGCCAACCACTTCCACATCCTGCACGATGCCTGGTTGTGCACTCATTAAAAGTCTATTTCGTTCTTATTTTCGCCATTAGGGCTCCTCCATGTCCACTAACGGTTTCCTTGTTTTCAGTAGAAGGTATTCAAAATCCGTACATTATTGCGTTCCGCGAATTCCACTAGTAGCTCTCCTCTGGTGTTTCTAGTACTGACGCCATAATTTCCTACTGCCTGGTCTCCAGCCTGCTTCTTCCCTCCTTTTGCATTAAAGTTTCCCATCAGTATAGTATACTGTCTTTTTACCTTATACTCATTGTCGATTCCACGTCTTCATAGAAGCATTCAACTAATGCGTCATCATGGCTGGATGTAGGCGCGTAAGCCTGTACCACCATCATCTTGTATCTCTTATTCAGTTTAATTGCGATACCTACCACCCTTTCATTAATGCTATAGTGTTCTTTTATGTTACCAGCTATGTTTATATGATTTAGGAACCCCACTCCCAGTTATATTCTGTCAGACAAGCCCCGATAGCAAAGGACGTGCCCATTCTGTAGCACCGTATGGGCCTCATCGGTCTTCCTAACCTCACTGAGCCCTATTATATCCCACTTAGCACCATCTAGCTCCTCGAATAGTACAGTTAGACTTCCCTCACTAGATAAGGTTCTAGCGTTAAACGTTGCCAAGTTCAGATTACAATGGCGGCCTGTCCGGACCCAGAGATTCTTAGCACCCTCTGCTGCGTTGCAGATCTGACCACCGCCGTGGTCAGTTTCTTCGCAGCTGCTTTGAATAGATGACCTGACAAATATGAGTCACAGCCACTGAAAGTTCAAGAAAGACATATTGTGACCCATATTGTTAAATTCGTTAATGAAAAAAATACTGAAAAATGAGCACAACTTGCACTAATTCGCGTAAGACTGGGTCACAGATGAGCTGGCTGACACAGCTGGTCCTGGCTTGGCTACAGGCCTTTGCCCTCTCATCTCTATCTCTCCTGCCCCTTGCAATACTATACTAAACATGACTACAGCTTATGTTGGTCCGTGTTCCAATTCTAGGCAGCATTAGTAGACAGCCTACGCCGACAGCTTAGAAGACAAAATCAAGCCTATGTTTTCCGAGGAATGGGACGCGTCTACGTGACGAGACGCCTCCTCACGTCGAGAAGAGCAAGCTAAGATAAAGAAACGCAACTAATATATTCTTAACTTACTTCGTGTTCAAATCTATGAAAAATTGAAGATTAGTCACATTGCGCTTCTGGAAAAGCGTTTGCGTGTGAACAGACGACCCTTCCGTCGAAATCGGTGTAGTTCGCTGAGCCGCCATGTGTTTTGAACAGCAATGAAGCCTTCATCGTTTTTGTCCATGATGCCGTGTTCTTGAAGCTGTCCACTTGCCGGCTGCGTAAGAATCGTAATGGCGCTTCAGATGGCTGGGGTCCACTTAGCCGTCTACGGCGAATACTGGAACACAGCCTTTTTAGCATCTGTACGGAGCGATTGAATGGTCATTGAGCGCGTGCCGGTTCATAATGACGATAATTATCTTTCTGCAATCCACAGACGATTCTGAGCTAACAGTATTGCTGCAAAGCAAGCTCATTCGCAGTGCAAGCCACTGTCTTTGGCCTTGCCTCTTGGGCATGCTTTGAGGCATGCCCCTACTAGGCAACCCCTACTCTACCCACATTTGTAGTGTTGTCACATGCCAAGACGTATTTTCGTTCACTCCGCGCAGGGGGCAACACCTCGAACTTGGGCTACGTGGACGGCTACAACATGTGGGAGGCCCTGTCTCGCGGCTGGCGCTCGCCGCGCAAGGAAGTGCTGGTCAACATCGACCCGGTGACGGGCGCAGGCGCCCTGCGTTACGGAAAGCACAAGATCGTGTACGACGCACCCTACAGAGGCTCGTCCGACGCGCACGTCAAGACGACCGGCCAGCGCAGGCCAACATCGCAGGCAGAAGAAGAGCTCAACTGGCTCATGGAAAACTCGCAAGCGGCCAAAGCGCTGCGAATGCTCTACAACGCCAACCGGCTTCCCCTGAGATACAACTGGAGGAAGGACGCCAGGGTGGACTGTGGCGTGCTCGGCAGGCGCCCCAGTAACTTCGTATCCCAGCAGCCACCCTACCTCTTCGACCTCGAGATCGATCCGTGCGAGATGTTCAACCTCGCCAACATACGAAGAAGGGTGCGTGCGCACATTCTTATTGGTTTCGACGTCACATAAACAACTTTCTCTAGTGTAGAACTTTCTAGAGCAAAATGATGTGTAGTTTGCAACATTGTAAAACTAGGCTGAATTACCACCTTCCTATCTCAGCTTCCTTCTTTTAACACGAAAGTGTTTTATTCCGGGGGTCCACCACGCCTCCACAACCATACTCTCTCTAGCGTGGACGCCCTTTAAAGGTTGTCGCCTCCACAAAGCCTGGTCTTTCCTGTGTGCGCGCGCTTATCCAACTCGTGATTCGAGAGAAGACGAAGGTCAGTTCCCACGCTGCCACGGCCGCGTTTACAGAAGGAGCGCGATGCTGACACACGAAGCAGGAATAACTGTGACAGCTGTCCTGTGTTTACTTGTACGCTCGTTTCTTGCGATTTTCTTTGTGTCTGAACAGCGTGCTTTGAGTGTCGAGCTATGACAGTTGCTAGCCTGCGCTTGTCCTGTGTATGCTAGTTACGTGGAAATGTAACTTAGAGCTGTGCGCTGAAAGTTCCGAGCTGCTTGCGGTTGTTAACGTGATTTTGCAACTTGGTGCCGCCGCTGAACCAATGCACAATAAACGGTCAACTACCTCTGTAAAAACACGTTTCACTTTCGTGTAATGCCGAATCCTAAATAGGGGGATCCGCTTCTTTTTTTTTCTTATTTTTTCAGCGCAGGTTAGCAAATCACATGTGCGCCTGGTTAACCTCCTTGCCTTTTTATTTTCTTGCCTCTCTCTTCCTCTTTCCTAACACACATACTCATATAAATATCAGTCTTTCCTTGACATCAGCGTTTATGTGTGCCTGTCACAAATGAAGTATCGTCATCTCACGGTTCTGTTACGATTCAGTTTTCGTCGTCCATGTTATCCGTTTTTTCCTTTCTGATTCTTTTTGGTTACGCTTATTGTCTTGTTCTTGAAGACGGAACATGTGCTGTGCTACGTAAGACACTTTTTTCTTTGCAACTCAGTCGCTGTTTCGTACTATCACTCCGTATTAATTCAACTTTATACGTTTTAGACTTGTACTTCGCATAATGTCCGACGCTCATTGTGATACATTGTCACTTGCAACGAGCATGCTACGCACGTGACGAAGCACGAACTTTCGAGGACACTTTTCTCACTTCTATGTATGGGCCAACTCATAAAATATTGTGAGGTACTGCTACTACAAACGCCAAAGACCAGCATAGCAGAGGCAAGCCCCGTAAAGTATTACCAAAACCCACCGTGTTACCATTAGACACAGGAAGTGCGACCTTTGTATGATGTCATCGCGTTCCAAGTGAGCATAATGCTTGCCAAGCGGTCTGACATTTAGAGCGGTGATCGTAAGCTCATCTCCGGACACCTCGTCAAGTGTGGCATAATACTTATTGGTAACCGGGTCAGGGAGCCCAGCAAACTCAGCAGCCAAAGTACTGTGGGTACATTATCATTAGCCTGGTAGAAGGTGCAATCTTCATTGTTATTGGTCAAGTAAAGCCATTCGATGTTCGGCATTCACAAAAACGCAGCACTACCGACAGCACTGTAGTTCGGCTCCTGACGTTCAAAGCAATGCCAAGCTGCATTGAGTTGCTCACTTTAATGTGTGGCGAAGTTTCAATTACACCTTGTATTTTTAGAGCTATTAGGACTGCGCCTATAACACAGGAATTCTGCCCATCGTATAGGACTTAGCCCTAGTGCTTAGCTAGATACCTTCAAGCAGTCAGGCTTTGCAATTTTTTTTAAACACCTGCTACAGGCAAAGCTGCGCACAACAAAATGAAAAATCTAGCGGTGTTCTAACAACTCCGCCGTTACACGCATGTTCCAATAAGTAGAAGGCTGGTCGAGATATCCCGGGGGGGGGGGGGGGGTGCGTTCGCACCTAGAATGGTTTTGCCAGATTTAGTCAGTATTCCAATGAAAGGGACTAGTTGGTTCAATGTTAGGCTTGGCGACGCGCTTACTAAGTGAATAATCAAATCAGTTGAAGTTGGCGCTTGTCCTGTTAAACTCTATCTCTTGCGTTGTTTGTGTTTTCGTAGCGTAAGCGCATCGCCAAGCCAGATTTAGTCACTGTTTTCCTCATCTCTCATTCAACTCTATTTTTGCCAACAGACACTGGGCACCATGCTTCGCATGCTACAAAGCTTTGAGGAAAATATGGTTCCCAACCGGAACGAGCCAGAAGATCCACTGTCTTACCCGGAAAAACACGGCGGCATATGGACAACCTGGAGGAGATCGTCGTCGTAGCAGCGCCCACATTGGGCTATTCGGCCTTCTGAGGCCATGTACAAAAATGTTGTTATTGCTCATGTTTGTTACTGCTTTTACATTTTCACTGTTTTTCATTTGTGTGCGTTTTCACGTGAAGCCACCGGTTGTGCTTTCAGCGAACGTATCTGAGGTGAACAGCAGGCTGCTCGCCAGCGACCAAGATCGCTCGCTTTTTTTATTCTTTCTTTTTCTTTTCGTAAAAGAAAAAAAACTGTGCTAGTGGCTCAAAAGTGATACTCTATAAAGTACCTGGATCGATGTAAGAAGTTGATAACATGAGCTCACTTGGTTAAAAGAAGCTTGAGAATTATCGCTGGATAATATGCTGAAGACTGCACTCCAAATTGCTCGACAACCGAAACACTCTCCGTAACTGAACTTAACGTATGTACACGTATTTGGAAAAGAGCTGCCGAGTTCAGAAATCTGGATAGCAAGCCATAAATGTTTTCAAAAGCAATTAGAACTGAAAAAAAAAAACATTGCTTATTTCTTGAGCGCTAGAACAAGCTCATAAACAACTTTTTTTTTTGGAGGACTTGTTCTGCTTATGCAAGAAAAAAAATACTCGTTGAAAGGTATGCAGCCTTGCAAATTAAAAAAAAAAAAAGCTTAATCATAAGTAGGGCAGTTGCACTGAATTTCAATATTATCAATTCATCTACAAGAAAAATGAGCAAGACGCAGAAGAGGATATGACCCAATCTGTTTTCTAGATTCCAATATTTTTTTATTATTTTTGTAAGTGTAAATGTGTGTAATAAAATACGTTAACAACAGGCATCAGTGTACGGCAAACTACTCGAAAAGGGGGAAACTACAAAACCTTAACCACATAAGTTTAAGGCGCAGAGTTGAGCACGGCGATGTAGCGGTTCTTAAAATTACACAAAGAAATCGTGAACATCCACTCAGTGTAGTGATCTTATCAAATATAGTTCAATATAAAATACAAAATTGGAATGTTCGATATGTCTTGCGAACACGGATCTCATCACTTTGCTCAAATGTGTACTCGTATGTTTTCAGAAGTGTAGAAAGCGAATCAAATCACAACGCAAAATAAACGGCAACGTGCCAACAAAACCACCAATCTGTGTTTGTAGCTTTTTTTAGTGGCTTGAATAACAAGTAACATTCTTGCTTCTTTTGAAATCACTGCTAATCAAGCACTCACTTCCTGTTTTCTATGTATAGAAAAGGTGTTTTCTAAGAAATAAAACTGGTATAAAATTCATAGTTCTGGTTCACTCTAAGAGTTGTATAGAATGCAGAGCATATCAGTTCATAGTCCTGGTTCACTCTAAGAGTTGTATAGAATGCAGAGCATATCGGGGCGCAAATTGAAATATTGAAGAATTATTGAGTGAACTTATTTTAAACATTAAACTCAATATTGAACATTATTTAATTTATTTTAATTTATTATTTGAAGGCTGTTTGCAGATAACTGCATAATTTTTAAAGAAATTCTTCTAATAGTGACCAAGATTGCCTCCAACAAGCAATTGATAACATAAGTTCTTGGTGTCACTCTTGAAATATGCAGCTAAATGTACAGAAAACAGTTTTATTAAGAATCACTAGAAAAAATGTTGAATAATATTTGAGTACCAATCCAGCACCGTTCCCATTCAGACAGTTGACAGTTACAAGTACCTTGGAGTCACCTTTACTGATAATTCATCATGAACTAAACATATTACAGAGATATGCTCGAAGGCAATTAGGAAGTTGCGCTTTTTGCGTATAGAAGACTCCGTCATCTCCTCCTCAGGTACGCTTGCCCTCTGTGAACACCTTCGTGCGATCAAAATTAAAGTATGCGTCACAAATTTGGGATCCAGTTACGTTGAACGACACTAATCAGCTCGAAATGGTTCAACGGAAGACTATTAGATTCATTTTCATTGCGAACAGATTTTCCTAGCGCCCCTATGATCAAAAACGAAATATTTTCGTTACAGTCCAGAAGGAAGTTTCATCGCATAAAGTTCCTACATAATGGCTGGTGGCTTGAATGTAAGTGACTCATCTTACCTTCATCCTGTTAACGCAAGACGAACAAGACACACTAGACCTCATGCACTGAAACCGTTTTTTGCTTAAACTAAGTCATTTCAAAGTAGCTTCTTTCCCAAAACAATATAGGAATGGAACAGACTTCCAGATTCAGTAATTACGTCGGCAAACTTTGTCAAAGCTCCGGAAGACCATATGTTTTGTTAGATTATTTGTTTCCTTAATGCTTATGGCGCTTCATTTCTCAATGTAAGAGCGTTATTAATTTTATGCTTCAATTGCACAAATTAGTTTCAAATTGTACCATTTTATGTATTAGGCCATCCTTGTATTTTGTTCTTATATGTGTATTGCTCCTCCTGCTAGGGCCAAGTTGGCCTGCAGTATTTTGAAATCATTACATAAGTAAATGGGAAAAACCCGTGTGTGTGTGTGTGTGTGTGCGTGTGTGTGTGTGTGTGTGTTGTGTGAGAGAGAGAGAGGGAGAGAGAGAGCACTGCATGGTGTAGAGCTATCGTGACGCAACATACAATATTTTAATCGAGCTATTTGACGTTGTAAACAACAAATGAATTCAGCGTGCGGACTCTTTTTTTATGTTTGAAGTTCTGGAATTGACTAGTAAGTTCTAGGCTCTTGCTATCGTAGCAGTCCCGACATTAGAAAGTAAATAACAAATTGTATCCCACAGTGCTAATTAATCTAGACTTTAACTTCCCAAAAACCCCATATGATAATGAGAGACGCCATAGCGGACGGCTCCGGAAATTTCAGCCACCTAGGGTTCTTTAATGTGTACCTACAAGTACACTGGCCTCAAACATTTTTCGTCTCCGTCAAAAACGCAGGCGCCGCCGCCGGGATTCGATCCCGTGACCTTTGTGTCAGCATGCAGTTGAGCGCCATAACCACTAGACCACTGCGGCGAGACAGTGCTATTTAATTATCCCGTTCTCTTTTTTCATTAGGCAGTTTTAAAATAGCAAACGAAAAGCTTCGCGTTGGAGCCACTGAGCTTGCATCATACGTAACCCGTCAAGTGAGGGAAATAGCGGGCGACCGCAACGAACGCCAACTTAGCACATGCTATTCTGAAACTCTCTGTATTTTCTTTTCTTCATACTAATGACCTCTAAGTTGCGGGCACAAAAATAATACGTGTCTATACAGGTAAGATTAGGAAACATTGGTAACATTTGTTCTATCCCCTGGATTTCTTAATCGCCACTTCTAAAACCAAACCACGCAGACATGCTGTAGCGCAGCGCCATCCCTTGGGACAAAAGCAAACTGTTTGACGCGCTATCTCGTGGAGCGCGGAAAATGAAAGAAACCCTTTTCTCGGCGTGCCTTCCGAGATAATTCTTTTCAAGGTATTTCAACCGTGCCATGATTGGCACCCGTTAAACTGCTCCTGCACGTTTCTTAATTATTTTGGCGCAAATACGTTGCAGTCCTATATTCTCATCTGGCAGTTAAACGATAAGTGACATAGCGCCTCTTTTATCAGTCACCGCGGACCTCTGAACTAGACCAGTTATAATGCTGACAATGAATGATCCCTCATTTGTACTGATCGTAATATGCTGAGTAAGACCCTGTTTACAAGAAGTGAGATGTCCACAACTCAGAGTTTTTTTTTTATCTCTACTTTCTGAAACTGCCACACAAGAATTAAACAGCTGTTTGTTTATCTGTTATTTGCTGAATATTGCCTGCTAAAATTAGAATGGTACTCTGCTATCCCGAGTTATTAACGATGGTTAAATAAGACAGTGACGTCGTCGGCAATAAAAGACAATATATACGTTGGTAGCCCAGGCTCCTATAGTTATGAGTGATCATCAAGTATAAACTCCTGTTCAAAAATGTAACATTGACGGTTCACTCAGTGAACGTCGGCAACGCACAAGCGAATGGGACTATCCATATGTGTATTTCTTCTAGAAAGTATCCTTAGAATAACTATTAAGGGGGGTATTGGCATCAAGATTTCGGCAAAATGTACTTAGTATGGTATCAGTTTCCACGGGCACATAACCACCTGTCCCCGGAGGCCATATTGGCCGCACTTGGAAGGGAGCTGAAATACCATAAACTGCATACGGGGGAATATCAGACGCATCGCAACCGAGTTGAACTAGGGGCAAGTGAGAGAGCTTGGACGAATACACGTCCCCGTTGGAAATTACTAACTTGAACTGCTTGTGCACTGCGACATAAAACACTCTCATGTAACCTGGTCTATAATCAAGCTTCATATTTAAGACACGAATACGATAGTGATCGGGCCCAGTTTCGATCGCCTTCTCATATGGTTCTCATATGTAGACACTTCATCAGTGTCATGTCGGGACGAACTCCTGTGCGCCTTGTACGCTCCTTTACGGCGTTTTCTGCAAGTACAGTTGCGAAATGCTACGCCATAATTTATCATCTTGCAAAAAACTACATGCCCACTATGTGTCTGTAAGGCAATGCGTGCACCTGGGTAGTTGCAGGATTTCCTCGTGGCGTTGGTGACGATGACCATGAACTTAGGCCCGTATTCATAAACACTCTTCGACCAGAAACTCGACCTTGAGGGATCCTTGAGAGTTTCCACGCCACAGAAATAGCAACGCAAAACGCTCCTCAAGAATTTCTTGAGGTCGAGTTTCGAGTCAAGGAGTGTTTGTGAGTACGGGCCTGCATGGTATCCATTGTAAATGGCTGGAAACTTTCAGCCACCCACTCGTTGTACAGTTCAAGTACTGTGGATGTTTCTTGCGGTTCTGCCCTTCTGCCGTACAACCTTACGCCTACTAACATGATTCCTTGCCCGACATGGTACATCTACAGGGTGTTTCTTTAAAACAGCAATATTAGTAAGCTGTCGATAACTTATGCTCAGTCGTGCAAAACTTCTCGAGTGGGTATACGTGTTAGGAATTGGGCAAGCCCCACCTCAGTGCGTAACAGACGTGGAAAGGTAAAAGAAAACAAAGAGAAATAAATGAAATAACAAAGATAAAACGACATAAAAACATAGAGAAAGAAATAGATAGAGGACGCCATAAATCAAGACACACACCGAGAGAGAAAAATAAAAAAAGATATAAAAAGCTAGAAAAACAGAAAGAAATCGGAAGAAAACAGATACAAAAAAATGAATACAAGAAAGAGATAGAAATAAAAAGAAAAACAAAAAACAAGCTGGCAAAAAAATTAACAGAAACAAGGAAGACCACTTAGTTCCGCTCTTCAGTTAAATTAGCATCACTAGTGCAACGCTGCCATTTTTTTTTCTCAATAGCACTCGCAAGATGTCGCGTAGGCGTGGTAGAAAACTAGCCAAGTACGTACAATGTCTGGGTTCGATGCATAGGAAGAGGTAACTTGATGCAAGCATGCTTGTGTCAAGTTCTTGCCTCGCGACATGCCACTAAATGACAAACATCTCAAAGAAACACTTGCGCGAAAAAAATGTCGGTGACTTGTTGTCAAGCTGTCAGCGTTTGAGTAAAGCCTTTTCACTCCAATATATATACTGCATAATAAATCTCGGCTGTTCTTTTTAACTGTTTTTCTCAACGAAACAAACACATTCTTATACAAGATTGTGCTCTCAGGTTTATGTAGTATGTCTAGAATAGTAACAATGAAGACACAATCACCAGGACAGAGAAAATTAAACGAAGCTGCGATTGTTGTCATTGGGAACTGTCTGCTGCGCATTCCCTTGAAACGAGAAGCAAAGAATGACAGCTAATCATTCGTTGTGCCCGCCGGAAAGTGTGCGATGTGGAAGGGTTTCCCGGCGACATGTCCATGCTCAATCGCCAATGCTGCATTTAGATTTGATTAAACCGGAACAAATCAGCCGCAGTTACTAACATTGTCATCCACTACGAGATTACTTGTATGACTATTCATACGCTGAATAGAGAGAATCTTGGAGAACCTTAGAGAACCTTGGAGAATCAGTGAGCAGTATGGTAAAAACGCGTTTCTCAGAGCAATGTAGGCTGCTCACATTGGTAGCCTTCGTTGACCGCTAGGGTCGTTAAAAGGTGTCCTGAACGCTTTTCC